TTAATGTTAGCCGTTTTCTGTCATTTAGATCCATAAATCCGTGGTATTTTAATTATAGCAGTTACAAAATATTTAATCCTAACCGTTACAAAATGTTTATCACATTTTAATTGTTCAAAAATAAATATTACATTTTAATTGTTCAAAAATAAAAATATAGCAGATTAAGAACCCATTAATCCGGAGCTGCATTCGTGTCCGCAGGTCGTGTGGCCGGCGCGTGCGCGTGTGGTGTGGAGCATAACCTTTATTTTCTTCTAGGCATAGAAGAGAAAGGGAAGGCTTATAAAGAGCTTATCTTCCCATCTCTTTTCTAATGTGAGACTAAAGTTTTTCTTTTTTCCTTTACAAACCCAAGTTTTAAGTTATAACTCCAACACAAGAGTTATGTCCACAAGATTTTTGTACAAGATGTTACTATACGCCCTTAATGCTATGTTTGGGTAATATAAAGGGAAAAATGCTTTCAAACCCCAAAACACAAGAAAACGCGTTTCCCACCCCCAAGACTTTTTCAACGCCCTTAAAACTTTCAAATTCGTAATAACTATGCACTGAGCCCCCAAAACACAAAGCCCAAGAATTTTACACAGTTAAAGACTATCATACCCTTTATCTCTTTTATGGGCATTGATCACCTCCTCCCCACTCCCCCCTCCAGTGCTTCTCCCTGATGTCCCTATCCCCGACCGTCGTCGTTCCCTGCGGCGTCCGCGAGCTCAAGTCCGACGAGCGCAGGCTCTACCTCATCCACCTCCTCCCTCCTCACTGCGTCAACCACATCGTTGCCGGCTCCCTCGACCACGCCAACGGCTGCCTTGGCGAGATCGCTGATGGCGAGGTCGCGGAGCTCGCCAGAGATCTCGTTGGAGGCGAGAGAAAAGATCCTGAGCTCGGCGGAGGAGGGGAGAGAGGAGAGGAGGGAGCCGTTGAGGAGGTTGGCGGAGAGGTCGAGGTGGCAGAGGTGAAGTAGGAGTAAGAGGTCGGAGGGGAGGGAGTCGAGGAGGCGGGTGCCAGGAAAATGAATTCTTTATCAGAAGAACTACCACAGTTAGCAAAAACAACATGAAGAAGAAGGAGAAGAAGTCCTATAAGCTAACGGTAGCGGAGGAGGTCCTCTCCCAACGCAACCTCAAGTCTGTCGACCTCTTCAGGGGCAAGAGGATTTCCGAGCTGAGCAACGCCAAGAAGCTCGACGGATTCGCGAGGGGAGCTGATCAAGGAGAAACACCACCGGGAATCGGAGCCGGTCCCAACGGTTCTGATCAAGCGTGCAGCGACGCCCAGATCATCGTCGGCTACCATCTCGATAGCGTTCACCATCTCTTCTTCTTTGACGTCAGCAACGTGGCCTAGCTTGATTGATTATGCATGCTAGCTGTTTGATTAATTATAAATCTTGTAATATATATTCTGCTGGTGCTCTATACTGCTAGCTAGTTGGTTAACTAATCTCTTGGATCGTTATTATATTATAATGCTCGCGTCCATAGAGATTGAGAGACTAGTAACTGTAGGTTGCATTTAGTGACAATGTACGTTGCATTAACTTATATCGCATCAATATATCCAGTTGCAGCTCTTTAATTAAGTGGTTGTTAATGTTATACACGTTGGTTGTTAAGCTTACGAGTTTTTTCTTAAGGTTACGCGTTGATTGTTAAGGTTATGATTGTTTTTTTAAGGTTAAACGTTGGTTGTTAAGGTTATACACGTAAATTGTTAATGTTACGGGTTGCTTGTTAAGGTTACGCATTGGTTGTTAAGGTTACGGGTTGTTTGTTAAGATTACGGGTTGCTTGTTAAGGTTACGCGTTGGTTGTTAAAGTTACGAGTTGCTTGTTAAGGTTACACGCTGATTGTTAAGGTTACGGGTTGGTTGTTAAGGTTAAGCGTTGGTTGTTAAGGTTATACGCGTTGGTTGGTAATGTTAAGCTTAACAACCAACGTGTAACCTTAAAAATCAATGTGTAACATTCACAATCGACGTGTAATCTTAACAATCAAACCTGTAACCTTCATAATCAACCCGTAAAACCTTCATAAAACTGAAAAAAAGAAGGAAATAAAAAAAGCTTTAATTTTTTGGACTTCTACTATAATAATTCATAAAAATAAAAAGCAATTACAATTTTTTGAACTTCTACGATGATGTATACATTTGTTTTAGGTGGTTGGAGTGAGCTGGATTTTGTAATAGTATTTTACCTTTAATTTTCATGAAATTTTCAAAAGTCATGCGATTTTACATGTTGGTTGTTAAGGTTATGGATTGCTTGTTAATGTTACTCATTGGTTGTTAAAGTTATACGCGTTGGTTGTTAAGGTTACAGGTTGCTTGTTAAAGTTACGCGTTGATTGTTAAGGTTACAGATTAGTTATTAAGGTTAATTGTAACCTTAACAACCAACCCGTAACCTTAACAACTAACGCGTAATCTTAACAAGCAATCCGTAACCTTAACAAACAACGTGTATAACCTTAACAACCAACGCTTAACCTTAACAACTAAACCGTAACCTTAACAATCAACGCGTAACCTTAAGAAGCAACTTGTAAGCTTAACAACCAACGCGTATAACCTTAACAACCACTTAATTAAAGAGCTGCAACTAAATATATTGCATGCGATATAAGTTAATGCAACGTACATTATCACTAAATGCAACCTACAGTTACTAGTCTCTCAATCTCTATGGACGCGGGCATTATAATATAATAACTATCCAAGAGATTAGTTAACCAACTAGCTAGCAGTACAGATCACCAGCAGAATATATATTACAAGATTTTAATTAATTAAATAGCTAGCATGCGTAATCAATCGAGGCCACGTTGCTGACGTCAAAGAAGAAGAGCTGGTGAACACTGTCGAGATGGTAGCCTACGATGATCTGGGCGTCGCTGCTCGCTTGATCAGAATCGTCGGGACCAGTTCCGATTCCCGACGGTGTTTCTCCTTGATCAGCTCCCCCCGCGAATCCGTCGAGCTTCTCAGCTCGGAAATCCTCTTGCCCCTAAAGAGGTCGACGGATGCGTTGGGAGAGGACCTCCTCTGCTGCCGCTAGCTTCGAGGACTTCTTCTCCTTCTTCTTCATACTGTTTTGCTAGCTGTGGTAGTTCTTTGATAAAGAATTCATTTGCCTGGCACCCGCCTCCTCGGCTCCCTCCCCTCCGACCTCTTCCTCCTACTTATAAAGAATTCATTTGCCTGGCACCCGCCTCCTCGGCTCCCTCCCCTCCGACCTCTTCCTCCTACTTCATCTCTGCCACCTCGACCTCTCCGCCAACCTCCTCAACGGTTCCCTCCTCTCCTCTCTCCCCTCCTCTGCCGAGTTCAGGGTCCTTTCTCTCGCCTCCAACGAGATCTCCGGCGAGCTCCACGACCTCGCCGTCAGTGATCTCGCCGAGGCAGCTGTTGGCGTGGTCGAGGGAGCCGGCGGCGATGTGGTTGGCGCAGTGAGGAGGGAGGAGGTGGATGAGGTAGAGCCCGCGCTCGTCGGACTTGAGCTCGCAGACGTCGCAGGGGACGACGACGATCGGGGACAGGGACATCAGGGAGAAGCACTGGAGGGGGGAGGAGGTGATCAATGCCCATAAGAAAGATAAAAGGTATTATAGTCTTTAACTGTGTAAAATTCTTAGGTTTTGTGTTTTGGGGGCTCAGTGCATAGTTATTACGAATTTGGGGGTTTTGAGGGCGTTAAAAAAGTCTTGGGGGGTGGGAAGCACGTTTTCTTGTGTTTTGGGGGGCTGGAAGCATTTTTCCCTAATATAAATTACATCCTAAAAATGGTTATAACTTTATTTTAGTACTCAAAACCTAACGGTCTTGTAAGTTACATTTTTTTACCTTCTTAAACATGTTGGGCTTACATTTTTTACCTCCTTAAACATGTTGGGCCTTGAGATCTTAATGCACTAGTAAGAATGATGTAATGGAATGTTGGCGCATGCTACCCCTAACCTGACACTGATTGTTGCGCACAATCAGTGATCTATGCGGAAGCGTAGCCTACGGAATCGTCACCGAACACCCTGATTAGATCTCCTCCTCCTTAGACTAGTCTTCACCGGGCGATGTGAAGACTCTTAAGAAAGTCTATTCAAACTAAAGAGAATAGCAATATACTGCATAAAAATAAGATTAGGAGACAAAAACAAGGGATTCACATGGTTTAACAATTACCTGCGTCCACAGGGAGATAATTGAGTCTTCTTTCATTTTAAAGGGTGTGCTTGACAACTTCACAAAACTTGTTTTACATGGTACATCTTTGGTCTAATATCTTGTTTTTAGTTTGGCAAAAGTTGGACCCAATTTGAACTAGTTATTTCTAGTTCAAAATTTAGCCCCTAAACTAGTTCTTTTATGAATCAACCCTTACATCGTTCAACTTCAACATAGTTAACATAAAACTAGTCTAGCCCTATTCTATTTTAAAGTTGCCAAACACACTCAAAGATTACAAGGTAATCGATTTTTGTGATCTAGATCGATCCTCACCAAAAGATCTCTCACAAACTCTAGATTTCCCCCTTAGTTCTATCTACTTTTTGCAATATGCAACTCTCCTTGGCTTGATTCATCTAACCCTAAACCTGGTTTCGCTGCTGCTGCTTGCCGTTTTGCCTTGTTTCGCTTTCTGCTTTGTTTCCGACTCTTCTGTTGTCTTTTAGGACTGAAATACAAGGCTAATTTCCCAACATGGAAAACTAATTATGAAGATTAATCTGATAACAAACGAAGAGCATTCTTAGATAAATGGGTTGGTCCTACCAAGTGTTGACAGGTCGTGGGAGATATTTGAGTTCTTAGCTGGTTTTATTTGTCTCGAGTCTTTGCAGGTTGGGGGACATTCCTATTGGAAGAATTATTGGACCCAACACCAAAGTAGTTCAGTTACTTTTGAATCGATGTTTGTCTTACATGGATGACATATTCATTTATTTTATTCTAGTTTATGAATTCGTGACTTAAAATAGTGCGGAATCTGCAGATCTTCGTGAAGATAAGCATTATTTGTCAGATCATCCTGGCTTGGTTCCTGTTACTACTGCACAGGTTTTGTATCTACTCAAGTAGGGTGCTGTGCTAGCTACAGTCAGGTTAATAGTTTATACTGAGGTTGTCATGGTTTCCAGGGAGAAGAGCTCCGCAAGCAGATCGGTGCTGCATATTACATAGAATGCAGTTCAAAAACTCAGCAGGTAGGTTCCAAATATTTAATATGTTGTAAGTTATAAGAAATTTTTATCTACCACGCACACATTTTAAAAAATGATCAATGTTGGTTTGGAACATGTGACAAGGCTTAGAATATAGTTTTTGACTTTTTGCTAATTCATTTAAAGAAGCATTATTTCATTTAATATGGTTCTTGATTTGTTGACTCTTATTTTCAATCATCAGAATTTCTTAATGATGCAATTTTAGAAATTTTACTATTTTGCAGAATGTTAAGGCAGTTTTTGATGCTGCTATCAAGGTAGTTATTCAACCTCCATCAAAGCAGAAGGAGAAGAAGAAAAAACCAAAACGTGGATGTTCTATGTTGTCAGTAAACTTTTCCTTTTTACTACCACTCTTACGTCCATTACTTTTAACGTATGTTGTGTTATTATCATGCTTGACTTCTTGTCCAAAATGCTATGTTTTTGAGATGCATAATATGTGTTCGTATCATACATTATTAGCAGAAGGCTAGTAACATTATTTAACATGCCAATATTACCCTCAAAACTTGACCTTTAGTTTTCTCTTGCATTTATGTATAGGACATCTTCATAAGTTTTAGGGTTAACTGTAGATAGACCCATCTAATATCACAAAACTGAACTTACTACCTCTGTGCTTTTATTTTTACACAGACAACACACACACGCTTATGCACGCCCAAACACATACACGCACGCACCTGCTTTCCCTCCAAAAAGAGGCGGCAGAAATATGCTTTAACCTTTTGTTTCTCTCCCTCTCCAGCATATGGCACAATTCTCCAATAGTTGAATCATCAGTCTACCTTGTTTCAGACTCTGGACATATTTAGGAAGAAATCACACACACACATATATATATTTTTTAATATTATGTTATCTACACTTTTCTGGTGGTCCTACTGTCCTAGTGATTATAGAATTAGTGATATGCTTGTTTTTATTAGGGAGACAAGAATTTACTTATCCTAGATCCTAGGGCAGGTTAAAACTTACTCTCCTTTCAATTTGTTAAAGGGCCACATTCTCTGGAAGTATGTAATCGCTTCGAGATTTATGAATTATGACCTTTGCATTTCTTTGTAAAAGAATTAACGGAATCACTTGCAATTTCAGGAATATCCTCTGTGGGAGGAAACTTGTTTGCCTTAAATGAAGGTTCGGCAGTTGCGGAATTCCGCATTGTAGATTTCCCTTACAGCCTTTCATGCTCGATTAATAGCCCATATTTCCTCAGGTTTGAGTTCAAGTGGCTTGGTTTTGTGTATTATGTTTTGATGGCTGTTTTCCTTTATATTTGTTACATTTGAAAATGAATGAATCAGTTTGTCCAGGGGGAAAAGTACAGGCAGGGATTGATTAACTTGATGATTAATCAGGGCATACAACATTTGTAATAGTCATCATATTTAACTTGGATTTGTAAAGAAGTAAGTTAATTAGAAGCCTCCTCAGCTTCAAAATCCTGCTTATCCTCGACATGTACCATTTTTCTGATATGATTGTATTATTGTCTATTAGTTCTCATAAGAATATTTGTCTACTCATTTTGCTCTGGCCAAAAAAATAAGCCCTGTTGTCACCGCATCCCACTTTAAATATACCCAGTTTGTACTTAGGGTCAACAAAATATACCCTTTAGCCGAATACCCAATACGTGACGCGCTGTTGGGTTGTTTGGTTATTCTTATTAATGAAACATGAGAGTAGCTAACAAGGGAATATGATTGATAAATCCCTTCCTTTAATGCATGTTAATCTAGATATATGCTGTCAGCAGATTTTGTGCTTTTTCGAACTACGCTCAAAATCGCGTGTTTCTGAAATATTCTTCGGAGACCAAAGTGAATGATTTGAGCCCTAGTAGTTTTTAACCTTTTTTTTTGAATTTAAGCGTTTTGATCATTATGCAGTGAGAAACCAATTTATAGTCTGTTTCATTTCAGCCGCCCCTGGAAACATTTTCCACTATTTTTTTAAAGCAGCTTAGAGAAGCTGACTACTGAGGTCTTCGGTCTTCCCCTTGCGAAGGTGCCATCGATGACGCTCAACAAAGTCCTCCAACAAAAACATGTAGTCCCCTGACCTGTCAAATTTGACCACTTCCTGCAACCGTAATCTTCAAACATGTGTTCGCAAACTATAAACGCCATAAACTACCAAACAATCGGAAGTATACAAACAACAGTTGCCGTGCAAGCGACGATTGCCAAGTGCCAACACAAAACCAAAAACCCAAACCAATTTGCAAATGAACAGAAACCCGGTTGAATTAAAAAAAATATTTTTTTTTTACAAATCTTTGTATTTATATCACGTATCCAAACGTGTTATCCTCTTTTGAAGAATTTGGCTTCTTGCCTTGGCTTAACATCTTTTTATCTGCTAAACGAAAAAAAACTGTAGCTTTACCCCGCCCCCGGTGTTCAAAACCCGTCTTCTGAATCACTGTCGGAGGAGGACCTAGAGTTTTCCGACATGAAGCGAGGAGGTAAATTTGGGAACATCGCTGCCGCCCTCTTCTCGGTCTCTGCTTTCTTCTGTGGCGAGCTCCTGCCTGCCAATGGCCTCTTCTGCATGTTCCTCGTGATATCTACACAAACCCTATCGAACATCACGATGAAATCTCTAACAATCACAAACAGCTGAAGGGGTTGTGCGTTCCTATCCCTTGAACCCCCTGGCTGATAATACTCTGTTGTCCTCTTCACGAGCTCCATTGCTCGTACCTGTTCCTCTACCACAACCCTGAGCTCCTCCTCTGATGCCTCTAAGAACCCTTTCATCTCCCTCAAGAACGCGTCCCCACCATTGCCTTTACTGAAAAACTGTCGGATTTCACTTATTCTTGTTCCGATTGAGGAACAAGAGGACGCTAGGCCTTCATAGTCTACTGCTGCAGCTTTCTTTACGTTAGCTAACTCTTCGCTCAGACCTCCGACTACCGGAAGTCCTAGCTTTATGTACTCTCTCTCCTTCTCTTCCCTCGTTGTCTTCAACTGTCCAGCAGAATTGGCAAGATTACCGCTGTTGTTGCTGCTACTGCTCCCGCTACGTCTGAGGCTATGATTACGGTTGATAACCAAGCGCTTGCCTTCTGATCGAACGACTTCCTCCACCACAAAATGGAGGAGCGTCGTTTTTCCATCCGTGCTCTTCACATCCGAAAGTTTACAGAGCGCAGCCAGGTTGAATGCCTTGGCATTTCCTCTAGCCGTGCCCGCATTCATTCTGTTTCCTGCTTTTAAAATGGCTTCTAATAGTTTCAAGAATAGACCATGAGACTTGAGCTCCCTGCAGGCTAGCTCGAGAGCCTGAATGGACTTTTTGATATGTAGAATCTCCATATCGTAGTTAAATTTGAACAACATTGCATCAATGCGAGCGAAAGGGGAGGGAACTGCTTTAGTTAGGTGGTAGAGGAAAGACTCAGCGTCTGCGAGCCTGGTAGGGTTGCCAGAGAACTCCCGGATCATGGTCTCTTCTTCTTTGGTCAGGGCAATTCTAGAGAGCTTTTCTAAGGCGTCGTGGCTGAGGTCTCGGCCATTAAAGAGGGCATCAAGGATCTCTTGACGACTGATTCCTAGCGATCGGATGACAATGGCGATGTTCTGGGATTTACGAGGGTCGAGGAGACAGATTTGGGTTGGGGTGTTAGATGAGGTCGATGGTGAAGTGAAGGGGTTTGAGGGAGTCTTGTTTGAGTTCGGGTTGTTTTGGTTTGTAGATCCATAGCCAAAGAGTGTGTCCATGAGTTCATCGTCAATCCTGCAGTACAAGGACACGGATAAACACTATAAATCAAGGAAGTCTTTGAACAAGAAGAATAACAACAAGAAGTGAAAAATATAATGGTAATAAATAGGGAAAATTGTTGCGGTTAGATGTTTGTAGTCCATCTAGTGACAGAACTAAGCTGTGTGAGGCTCTTTATCGTACATCCAATTGAACACTGATGGACCAACAATTTGAAAAGAATTGTTGTTGCTCTTTATTAGATAATTTGAAAAAGAAAATTGAGACATTCTGTTTCCTTATGATGATTAGAACAAGTATATAAGATTAATTAGGACTATTGAGCCTAGAGGCTGTTGACATCTATAGAGGAAGCCCCCAAAAATTTAGAAGGCGAGAAGAGTTCCCTTATTGAGTTTAATTATGGAATGAAGGACGTAGGTGAAATTTTGCATCTAACATCTTTATAGAAAGATCACTAATATTCTATTTCTCTGATTTTAAGTCTTATATAAGATTTTAAAATTCATTAGTTGGTGAGATGTCTCATATCTAAACTCAAATTCATGAATCATCTTAGAGAAGATAAATCAATTTATTTCATACTTCAACCTCTAAAGACCCAGTCAGTTGAGTACCTTGATGAAATCATATAGCTGAACCAAACAAGTTGAATTTGCTCATCAACATTAATTTCAAAATAAATTTTTGCACGAACGCGCCGTTAGTGCACTCGGGTTTTCAAACAGAGCAGCATTTATCAACATCTCATGAAACAAGAGGCAGAAGAGATTAATTGAGATCAATAACTGACCTGAATGAACCATCACTGATTTTATCCCACACCATTGAATGCTCTGGATTGTGAGGCGTAACCTTATCCCAGTGCAACGGTTTCAGCTTTGCCCGGCTTCTTCCGCCCTCTGCCTGCGACGGCGGCGGGGGCATGAACGAGCCGCGCCTAGATGCACCCGCGGCCTCCACGAGGCACGCGACTGCCGCACTGTGGCGGCCGAGTTCTTGCTGGCGGCGGCCGTGGTGCATCGGTGCATACGTGGAGGCCCCAGTGTTTTTCTCTTGGCATTCGGTGGGGTGGAGGAGGTGGTGATTTTGGCGGCGGGGTGTGGACGGTGGCGGCTGCTGGTGATGCAGGGCTGGCGCGCATGGTGCTAATCTGGATGAAGAAGGTTTTGATGTATGTTCAGACGAGCTTATAGAGTTTGAAGGAAGAAGAGGGAGTTCCTGAGCTTTGCGATCATATTGCTCATCGGAAACTAGACTCAGCTGAGAAGGATCGAATGATTTCTGCTGGTTGAGGATGCAGCTGCAGCGCTTGCAGCGCTTGGGAGTATCATCGCCGCCCACGAGGTTGCGCCAGTAGAGGACGTCGAGTCCGTTCTCGTCCACAATCATGCCTTTACCCCCTGCAGGCTGATTTAAACTGCTTCTCTGGGAGTCAAAAACCTTTGCCTGTCGTCGATGTTTCTTTAGAGAGAGCCGGTGGAAGATGAAGAAGACAAGGAAGGAGAGGGCAAAGGTGGAGGCAGCGGTGGCGACGACAGCCTTGGTTACTTTGCCGCCGTCGCTTGAGTTTGAAGTAGGTGGTGGTAATCGGGAGAAAGGTGGTCGAGGAGGAGGAGGAGGAGGAGTTTGGCCGACGAACGCCGGCGAAGGGATTGAAGGGAAGAAGGTTTCAATGTTTTGAGAGGGTGAAGATGATTGAAGAAGGTGTCTTTGATGAGATGATGATGATGATGATGATGATACAAGTGGAAGAAGAGAAATAAGACACAGATGAAGAATTGAATCCATGGATCTAGAGAGAGAGAGAGAGGGAGAGGGAGGGAGGATGAAGATTTTAGGGGGTGTTAATTGTTATTGTTATTGTTTTTGTTGCTTTAGGTGAAGGAGAGGAGAGGGTGAGTCGTTCCATTACACTTGTTCCCATTGGCTGAATGATTCAAGAGCAGGAGTGGTTATAAGAGGGAGGGAGCCTGTGACTTGAGCCCATCAGCTGCGGTGGGTTTGCTCGTCTCCAAAAGAAAATGAATTTATCGCCGACTTGTTTCTTCCTTGTCTCTCGAACTGGACAAGGGTATTTTGGTAAATGACAGTTGAAGGTGATCTGGTATAGGTCGGCCATTTTTGGAGCTTACTTAGGTCAACCATTCTGGCATAGTTTTCAACGGTTGGCTCCAATGATCAGGGACCCCATTCCTTTTTGAACTTTGTCAATATTTGTTCTAATGTGTTATGGACCTACTACGGCTCAAATCTATTAGCTTGATTCAAAGTTTGAAGCTTAAATGTCTTCCCTCTTTCAAACCTGCTAGGTTTATACAAGGGGCTTCACCTTGAGCTGAGAACACAGATCAAATTCCTTTTTATGATATGAGTAGCTCAGTTTGATTGAATTTATCATTCCATGTTATATTAGTCCATCAAATATCCTTATGGCTTAATTGCACTTAAATATCCTATAGTTTCTCGCACTTTGCACTAATTATATGTCATCACTTGTATTTGGTAACACTTATAAAACCAAAAGTTTTAGGGAAAATTGTGTCGAGACCCCAAAGGTAGGAATTTCATCTGACCCAGCCCCTTGTATTTTGACCCATGTGATTCAGGCCCAAATACACACTGTATTTGTGTTCAGGCCCCAAAGTAGCGGACCCCGAAAACTAACATGTAGCAGGCAACTAACATGCAGTGAGTGAGAACTAACACGAGAGCCCAAGAGCCTAGAACTAAGATGAATTAGAACTAGAACTAATATGCAACGAGCTAGAACTAATATGCAACGAGATAGAACTAACATGAGAGCCCAAGAGCCTATAACTAAGATGAATTAGAGCTAGAACTAACATGCAGCGGACTAGAACTAACATAAGAGCCCAAGAGCCTAAGACTAAGATGAATTAGAGCTAGAACTAACATACAACAAGTTAGAACTAACATGCAGCAGGCTAGAACTAACATAAGAGCCCAAGAACCTAGGACTAAGATGAATTAGAGCTAGAACTAACATGCAGCTGATTAGAACTAACATGCAGCAGGCTAGAACTAACATGCAGCGGGATAGAACTAACATGCAACGGGATAGAACTAACATGAGAGCCCAAGAGCCTATAACTAAGATGAATTAGAGCTAGAACTAACATACAACGGGCTAGAACTAACATGCAGAGGGTTAGAACTAACATAAGAGCCCAAGAGCCTGAGACTAAGACGAATTAGAGCTAGAACTAACATGCAGCGGGCTAAAACTAATATGCAGTGAGTTAGAACTAACATAAGAGCCCAAGAGCCTAGGATTAAGATGAATTAGAGCTAGAACTAACATGCATCGGGTTAGAACTATCATGCAGGAGGCTAGAACTAACATGAAGCGAATTAGAGCTAGTACTAACATACATCGGGTTAGAACTATCATGCAGGAGACTAGAACTAACATGAAGCGGGATAGAACTAACATGAGCCAACTAACATAAGAGCCCAAGAACCTAGGACTAAGATGAATTAAAGCTAGAACTAACATGTAGCGGGTTGGAACTAACATGCAGGAGGCTAGAACTAACATGAGCACATGAAGAAGAGTTGCATAGTGTACAAATGTAGCTATAGGGGTTTGAACTCCTGACCTCCTCTCCAAATTCCCAAGCTTTACCACTAAACAAACTAGCCTAATGTATTCATATTAGTTCTACTTAAAGTTAGCTCTAACATGAATTAGAACTAAGTTAGAACTAACATAAAATAAGTTAGAACTAAAATTAAATAACTTAGAACTAACATGAGTTATTGCTCATAATATAGTTTAAAAAAGGGCGGAAAATTTCCCTCCAATTTTTCCATCAGATCGCATTAATGTGACGTGACTTCCCATGTATTTTGGGGACCAGGCGTCAGGAGAAGATAAGTGGAGGGGTAATTTCGATTTTTTTTCTAAAATACAATCTCTTTTTTTGTACTGCTGACGTGGAGGGGTTTTGAAATATTAAATGGTACCTTTTGATGCTAAATCATATGAGCCAAAATACAAAGGGCTGGGTTACATGAAGTCCCTACTTTTGGGGCATCGACACAATTTTCCCAAAGTTTTAAAACTTGCACTAAAATATCCTAATTTTTACTTAAGTACTCAAAAGTAATATGAAAGAATTCAAAAAAGGGCAAAAAGGTGCAGTTAAAAAAATGCAAGAGACCAGAGTCTCTGAAATGTAATACATCACATTTAAAATACAACGTTGGTGAAAGTGATACTTTGATTGTAAAGCTCTTCGCTTCCTATATAATGTAAATCTCGTGCGTAATGACTTTCTGGCTTTGTTACGTTTATTTTTTTTGTCTTCTTGAGGTCACTTGAGCAGAAATGGCACGTTATGCAGTTAATATATGTGATCCACCTCTCAATCGTGTTGAGGAAATTTGTTAGGGGTGTATTGTTCAACTTATAATTATTGATGATTCTTAAATTGAGAAGTGACGATGTAAGCCTTGAAAAAAAGTGACAATAACATAGCTGTTATTAATTACATCAACCTAGATCTTTGACGCGTATGATGTACGTGATCGTTAGAGTATGGAGCATTTTTGTCAAAACAGGAAATTGAGGAGAAAAATAACTCTCATCGATGATGAACAATGTTGTATACAAATTGGGAGACCTAACAAGAAAGGTAACAAAGAAGACAATAAAACAATTGCAAATATATAATGTCATACTAGCTTGATCAATTACTATATTTAACAACCTCCTTCAAAATTCACCGTGGATCTAAAATCGAGAGTTTGGGTAAGAAAAACTTGAATTGAAATTGCGCTAGCTTTTGTAAATAAATTAGCCACTTCTTTTGAAGGAATGTATGGTAGAGAGATTCGATGGGCTTCATGTTCTTGATGAACCACATGTCAATCGATCTCAATGTGTTTTGTTCAATTATGAAACGCAAAATTGTTGGCTATATGAATTGCACTTTGGTTGTCACAATATAAAGGAATGTCATAAGGCACATCTACACCCATACTATGTAACAAACGATGCAATGATTACAGTAGCCATGTTGGCCATTACTATTGGATTTTTTGGTCAAAAAATAGCTTTCCAAAATGAGTTTTCAAACTATATATATATTAACTACAAGTACTTTTCATAAATGCTTTGTAGCATAGTGGAAAGTTAAAGTTTTGGTATTTCAAAAGGTCCCTTGTTTGAGGCTTGCTAACGGCAAGCCGAGAAGTGTTTTATTTGAATTAATCTCTCATAAGTTCTAGTGAGTCATGAGTCGTGGGTCGTGGGGCCGTGGACCAATGGGCCGGGGATCGGGGCTAATCGGGCTGAGGCGCTAAGTGGCGCTTTATTAGGCGTACTTTGCACTTCACACAGATGCATCGGGGCGAGGTGGCGCTGTTTGGCGCCACGTTGGCTGCCACGAAGCATGCGGGCGAGCTACGTATTCGGGCGCTGTTTGGCGCCACGTTGGCTGCCACGAAGCATGCGGGCGAGCTACGTATTCGCACGAGGGTGACCCTAGCATTCTCGTAGTTTGACAATGTTCGTTCGTTCGACGACGTTCGTCTGTCATACGAGGTTTGCCTGTTTGACGATATTCGTTTGTTCGACGAGGTTCGTCTGTCATACGAGGTTCGCTTGTTGACGAGGTTCGTCTGTCATACGAGGTTCGCCTGTTTGACGAGGTTCGCTCGATCAACGAGGTTCGCCTGTTTGACTATGTTCGCTCGTTTGATGATGTTCGTCTGTCATACGAGGTTCGCCTGTTTGACATTATTCGTTTGTCAAACGAGGTTCGTCTGATTTGTTGAGATGTGACCCTCGCGTTTCCGTAGCAACGCGTCCATTGATTGCCTCGTATTCAGGAGTTAATGCTGCAGCAGTTACAACAGCATTAAGAGCAATTTAATGTATTGATGTTACAATCTTAATTGTCATTAAGAATTGTAATGGTCACATTAATTGCTAGTGACTCTTGAGCTGGCCTTAGAGGCCTATAAATAGCGTCCTTGGGCAGCTCTTGGTCGGAAGTTGAAAATCCTCTCGCGTATGTGGAACACGAACGTCGCGTGCTGGAATACGAACGTCGATCCCGACGTTGTTGCTGTTGTGCTGCTGCTGCAGGAACTTGTGCCCACATGAACTTGCCTTAAACCGAAAGGTTTTTGAACCGAAAGATTCTGAGATCGAGGAGATCTTTGCCTTAATCGAAAGGTCTTATAGATCGAGGAGATCTTGACAGTACTGGGTTGGTACACACCAGAGTACTGTACTGCTGTTCCTGGAAGCAGTTTGGCATTGGGATCCTTGCATCGGAGTAGGCCAAATATTGCTTTAAGCACAACGTTTTTATAACGCACAGCAGTTAACTGAAAAAGTTTAAAATTACAGCACATCTAATTCCTTGCTTCATTCCAGATTTAACCTTAATTTCTAACAATCTTAAAGCAATATTTCTGATCTACTAATGGATCCTGCGAAGACTCTTGGAGAGGACTGTCTCAAGTTAGAAAACTTTGATAGATCTAATTTCAACGCATGGCGTCGAAAAGTGATTTTTGGGATGCAACTCCTAAAAATCTACTATGTGGTTTCTGAGGAGAAACCTGACTTTGAAGAAGACTCGGAGTCTGAAGTTCAGACTCTTGGGATAAAGATGATCATTTCTGCAGGAGTTATCTCCTTAACTGTCTGGCTGATCATCTGGCAGATACTTACACCAACAAGCCATCTGCAAAGGAAATCTGGAATGCTCTGGAGGAGCAATACAAGGATGAGGAGAAGTTTTCCAAGTCTCACCTTATTGACAAATTTCTGGACTTCAAGTTTGAAGATGACACTGAGGTTTTGCCTCAAGTTAAAGAACTCGAAAAGTTTGTTATGAAGCTGAATGATGAAAAGATCAGTCTTTGTCAAATCTTCATTTCTGGTGCAATTGTCAACAAGCTTCCTCCATCTTGGATGTCGTTCTCCACGGACATTCGAAGAAGGAAAAGACAGGTGACTCTGTCTGATTTGAAGAGGTTTATTTGGATCGAGGATGAGATTCGAACTCGCACAAAGAATGAGCTCCTAGCTAAGCAGAAGGCGTCTGCTAACATGGTGGCAACTAACTCTGAGAAGGGTACCAATTCTTCTAAGAAAAAGAAATCTTTTAACAAAAATAAGAATCATAATCCGAAGAACCTGAATGTACAGAAGAAAGATTTCAAGAAGAGCGGCAAATGCTTCAACTGTGGGAAGCAAGGGCATTTTGCCAAGGACTGCAAAGCACCAAAGAAGGGAACAACACACAATGTTAATCAAATTGATAATTGTGT